TCCTATGTTATAATTATCAGGAAGGCAGGAGCACTTCCAGAGGACGAGATTGCGGGAATCGACGTCAGTGAGCTGGGCATGCCTGTCTTTGATCCGATGTCCTTGAGAAAGGCAACATTCCGGCTGTTATCTAATTCGACTTCAAGTGTTCATCAGGCTTGTCATCTGGCCAGACAAGGCACGTCAGTCTCAAATTCTCGACAGACATTGCAGGACAGAGAGGAGGCGAACATTGAAGGTGAACGCATGACCCAGTCTCCATCATGTGATCACAAAACGGTAGCTTGAGGGCCTAAAGGGTTGACTGTGGCGTGGAGAGGGAGACGATGATGTAGTACATGGTATCTGGTTGAAGAGGAGAAGGAGGATTAGATGTGTTGGTTGGATAAGATGGATATTCTGACTGTATATAGCGAGTCACATCAGAATTTTTTGGTGTTCAAGTGGTTGAGAAGGATAGGAAGGATTCATTACTCATGTATACAGCTTATAATCCAAAAATAATTCAATCACGATTACACTGGGTAGAAAAAGGACATGTCCAAAGTTCATTCTGCGAAATCAAGCAAAAAGCAGGTAAACTATCAAAGAGTTGTCAAAAAGGACTTGATCAACTAACGAGCCATAATAACAAGCAATTGGAACTCGAATGCCAACGCTCCCGGAAACTTGAACAAAAGACCTGAGCGCAAGCAGAACGTGCTGTTTGGGATTGGACAAATGAAAAAGAAATCCATATAGCTTTTCCGGTATTCTGAAACTGCCCCTCAAGACTAACGATGTATTTAGCTAGCAATTCCATCTCAGTGATAAGAAACCCACATTAATAGTCACTCTATACATCTGCTTTTATTGAAGTCCCCAGGCCATTGGGATCATTGCCTTGACTAATGGGTGGCCCCTGTCAAGACTCTTGTAGATCATTATAAATAGAGACAAGGCAAGCACCAATTGTTACGACCGGGAAAATCTTTGAGGAGTTTCAACAAACATGATAGTCAGCATGAAAGGAACAACAAACCTGGCCAAATGTAATTGGAAACCGTGGGCCATTATGGATGACTGGATTCCGCTGAATAGTTTGCTCGATAGTCACAACCACATAAATCCATTGGACAACAAAACAGAACGTGATGTAGATATTGACGAAGAGGATATTGATGAAGGAAGTGCGAGGGCCAGCTGAAAGGCGGTACGAGCCAATGAGCGGATGGAAGGCTTTGATCAAGAATACCAAGAGAAAACCAACTCCTGCGAGTGTAATTACCGGGACACTTAGAACCACTGTAGCACTGATACCAAAGAAAACTTCAGGAGTAGTGTCATCAACAGTCCTTGAGTGGTAACGGGCATGCTACTCACCAAGGGATACCACATGCCCCGAACCAATCGCTGATAGCTCCCTTCCAAAGACTATCAATTTGGTAGCCGCGTTGCACTCTGGCTGGGATCCAAACCTCCTGGCATGAACCCAAACGTAAAGCCCGAAGCCATGCCAAGGCCAATGTAGTAACGAAAGGACCACCTTTGCAGTGAGGCCAACGTCGGACGCTGGGGCCCCCATACTTCTCTTCTGCATGGATCCAACGACTAGCATGAGCTTGCAAATAAGTTTAAGTAGCAGAGATATAAA